TTTTGTTGTAAAAATTCAAGTTAAAAAAATGCATCAGTAATTCTGTTAATCTATATAAAGTGGAGAGTATGCAATTATATAAATGATATTTATAGTCATTTATTTTTTTGTATTAGTATTGTGAGTAACTAATAATGATGAATTCTTATTTACGAAAAACAGTCATAAATGTTTTATGAATGAATGTTTCAACTCGTATTTATTTAGAGACTTCTTGCAGGAAGGGGATGATTTAATGCCTGTAGATGCTGCTGGAAATTTTTGCGAATCGGAAATCGATTATTTAGAAACATGGAGAGGAATGGAAGAGTGTGTTCACCAAGGTTTAACTCGCAGCATCGGAATCAGTAACTTTAACTCCGAGCAAATTACCCGTTTACTCAAATCGGCTAAAATCGCCCCAGTTAATAATCAGGTATGTGGTATCATCATAAATCGTTTCATAAATTTAATTGTATTTGTTTCATAATTATTGCATTTTTTCTGTTAGATTTACATTTTTGATCGAATTAATTTATATCTTTTTAATAAATATTTTTTCTTTATGTATATTTGAAAAACATTTTTAAAAAGCTAAAAAGTCTTATATTAACGTAATTTATATCACATTAATACTGCAAGATTTACTAATTAAAAAAATATTTTATTATAGATTGAAGTTAATATAAATCTAAATCAAGAGAAATTAGCAGATTTTTGCAAGAAACGTAACATAACGGTAACTGCTTATTCTCCTCTGGGACAACCCGGAAATGTATTTGGCGTTGACAATAGCTTAAATAATCCTATAATATTGCAACTTGCAAAAAAATATAATAAGACGTCGGCGCAAATAGCACTTCGATACGTGGTAATAAAAAAATTTAAAATTGATAAAACTGTTTCTTTCATGTAATTAAAACAGATGTATACAGTCATATTTTATTTTTATAGTATCAACAAGGAACTGCGCCAATACCTAAGTCTGTAACTAAAAGTCGAATTAAGGAAAATATGGAAATTTTTGATTTCACGTTAACATCCGATGAAATGAATGCTATTCGTAAAATCGGCACTGGACAAAGAGTAATATTTTTCACACCGTAAGTAAACCAATGACTGTTAGAATATGCATATTTTACATTTTATCATATCTTCTTCCATATACGAATATTTTAGAACTTTCAGATCTTTAAATATTTTTTAAAATAATTTTGTTTCTTGGATAATGTATGTTAAATTTTAATTTTAAATGAACTGTAAGTCGTATTTAAATTCCGAACAGAATTCTACATATAATTTTACATGTTGTGTAAGCAAAGAAAATATTGCAAATTATAGATGATTTAAAATGGACTTTGAAGAACAATAGATATTAGATAAATATTCGAATGACGTATATTTTTTCTAAATAATTATTTTGTTTCTATGTTTTAGTGCGAAGAATTTTAAATACTTTCCTTTTAACATTCCGTTTTAAATCAGTGTAAAGAGAGAAAAGAAAAACAGGAAGAAGAAAAAGAGGAGAGAGGAGAGCGGAAAGAGGAGAGAGGAGAGAGGAAAGAGGTGAGAGGAGAGAGGAGAGGAGAGAGAGAGAGAGAGAAATGAATATATA